CCCGGGGCGGGAGGGCCCGGCGCGGGCCCGGCGCGAGAGGGCCGCTCGGCGGGTCCCAGCCGGGGGCGCCGCTCGGCCCGGCACCGCCGGGGGCTGCTAACGGAGCGCGGTAAGGTCGGTGCGTGCCCGGGAGCCCGGCGAGGCTCCAGGAGGCCGCCCGTGCAACCGTCGTGAGGACACTGAGCAGGTGGGACGCCCGTGCCTCCCCGCCTCCCCGCCTCCCCGCCGGGGCAGCTCCCCGCCGCACCCGTTACTTTGGAAGCGGCTGCCAATGGGCGGTGGTGCGTTTTTGCTGTAACCGTGCAGCGGTTGGAGTTTACGCACTGATTCTCTTTCCTTATGAGGAAGCATCAGTGGCTGAGACGACTTTAAAGAAAAAGCAGTAGAAGCATTAGCCGAAATCCTGGTGTGTGTGTGTGTGTGTGTGTGTGTGTGTGTGTGTAAGGCCTGCAGCGTTGACACAATACAGAAGGTATTTTTTGCTGCTGCTCCTGAAGCTCTGACATCACCCAGTGAAATAGGAAACATTTCAGGCATGGCTTAACTCGTATTTGTCCCTTCCCACCCTCCCGTTAGCCTTTTTTCCCCGTACTCCTTTAAGAAGGATGAATGGGCAGTAGGAGTTGGGCATTTTAGGTGTGTCTTCTGATAGTTAAATGAGACAGATCTAATAGGACTGCTTACGCTGTTTGGTGCAGTTTTTGAAATAGTCCGTCCAGACTGAGGTTGAAGCCTTGTTAGTCAGTGATTCTGACTAAAGCCAAAATACTTGTTCTAAATTTCCGTCCTTTGTTTGTTTTCAGGCATCTGGAGTTACAGTGAATGATGAAGTCATCAAAGTTTTTAATGATATGAAAGTAAGAAAATCTTCTACACAAGAGGAGATCAAAAAAAGAAAGAAAGCAGTTCTCTTCTGTTTAAGCGATGACAAAAGACAAATAATTGTAGAGGAAGCAAAGCAGATCTTGGTGGGTGACATTGGTGATACTGTAGAGGACCCCTACACATCTTTTGTGAAGTTGCTACCTCTGAATGATTGCCGATACGCTCTGTACGATGCCACGTACGAAACAAAAGAGTCTAAGAAAGAAGACCTAGTATTTATATTCTGGTGTGTAAAAACAAAAGAAAAAAGTACTTTTTAAAATGCAAGGATTATTTTTATCATAGTCAGTTTTTGCCTTTGTTTTTCTTTTGAAATTCAACATTTTCTCCCCCCTTCCCTCCCCGTAGGGCTCCTGAAAGTGCTCCGTTAAAAAGCAAGATGATTTATGCTAGCTCTAAAGATGCCATTAAAAAGAAATTTACAGGTATAAACATTGACTGTTTTATGCAGAAAAAAAAAGATTTTTTAAAAATTATAGTAAGGTTAATGGGATGTGTTTTTTCTTTTTTCTCTTAGGTATTAAACATGAGTGGCAAGTAAATGGCTTGGACGATATTAAAGACCGCTCGACGCTGGGAGAGAAACTGGGAGGCAGTGTGGTCGTTTCTCTCGAAGGAAAGCCACTATAAAATAATAGCCAAGTGCCATTTGATCTTAAGGGGCTTACATTTCTCCAGCTCAGTCCACTGGAATCGTATTAGGTTCTGTTTTTTGTTTATTCCCTTTCCACTGGTCCCTTTCAACACAATGAATGAATGAATGAGTTTAAGAAGCCTGTCAGTGATTGCCATTAGACTGTTTAATGCGGCCACTTTTATGTAGAACCCGAGGAATGCCTTCCCCGTCTTATTTTAGCCAAAACAACTGGTTCCATGCCTTCCTTGCAGGGAGCACAATAATGGATGTGACTGTCAGTGTGACTAGCTTAGAGTACTGCAAGGGGTAAGCTAATTGAATGCCTTGAAAGTATTATCCACTGGTCAGATGGGAAACTTTTCAGTATTATTTATAGTTGCACTTGATTACAGTTCTCTGAGGTGCTGGAGCATTCATACACCTCACCTGCCTTGGCAAGCCTGTTTTTATGACATGGTAGCACAGATTTAACACTATGCGCTAAAAGCACTTTTTTTTTGTAATGCATTTAATCCCTTAAAAAGAATGCCAATTAAGTTTCATTACCCGTCATTAATTCATCATAGTATCTCAGAGTTCATTCCTCTTACCTGCGTATTTTCTTCAATGTTGATGTCTTTGGTTTCCCATTGAGTGTACGCTACTGAATAAATGTAGGAGTTTTATGTTTACCATATGAGTCTTGAAACCCTACCGATGTTTTGAATATCAGTCATGATGGCAATTTCTGTACAAAAGAGCCTTAAATGGAACATTGTTTTGAGATCAAACTTCTGCCCTCACGAAAGTGGCCACGTTGCAATAAAAATTGTGGCATATGACAGAATGTTGCCTTGTTTTCCTTGGAAATTTTTGCAAATTATTATGTGAAATTTTAGGGTAAACAGTGATTAAGCTCTACACTGATACTTGGAATTTTTTTCCCTTCAATACAGCACTCGTGTCTTTTTCCAAATTGTTAGATTTCGTTGGTTTAAAGATATCTTAAAATCACTTACCTACAATCATAAAAAGAGTGGTACTTTTATAAATATGTTCTACTATAGAAAGCAGGATTTTTTTTTTAACTTTGACATACTTCAGTATCTTATTTTCTAGATAAATTAGGATATTAATTCACAGTTACATTACTGAATAATTGATTGGTAGAAGTAGGATGTTTTTATTACTTGGTCAAATGAAATTAATTTGTAAAATGTCATTCAAAGGATTAATAATGATTTTGGTGTTTAGGAATGTTCATTTCAGCTAGATTCCTTAATATCTTTTCCAGATTGAATTGGAAAAAGAAAAATGGCATAGCAGTCTTAAACATTAGTAATGGGTTTTGGCTGTGGTCCAGAGAGTTCTCCTTATAGAGAATCTGATCTGCTCAATGTGCGCACTTTGCTATTAGCCAGAGCTATTTATGGCAAACACATGCTTTTGTATCTTGTCATAGTCATCCACAGATGGCAAAACTGGACTTGATTCTCTGGTATGCAAGACAGGCGTGCTAGCGAACAGTCATTTGTGACTCTGAACTTTTATGCCATAACTCTGCAGAATGCTTTTGTCAGAATATAGGAAACAAAAATATTTTTTTTAAATATATGGAAGTAATTTAAGTATAATTAATTTTTTTCTACCTCTTTGAAAGTTTGGTTTTTTTTTTTTTCAGATGAGAACAGTAAAACATAGCTGTTAAATATCTAGGCTGCCATTTAAAATTGTACAACTAACTTGGGGTGTTTTTAGCACGAAGCAATTTTATTTCAGCCTTCCAGCTGTCCCTGTGAGTTCCTGATCTTTCCGTGGCTTTTTGGTAAGGCTGCTAATAAGCAAAGCATGAGAATGGTAGTATGTACTAAACTGTATGTTTAACTGATCTTTGCACCAAAGGACTTTTCACCAAGTTATTTCACTATTCTCCCAACATTAAGAGATTTCTAAAAAGTAAAGGAGTGATCTTTTGTTTTTATGGCTGCCTTCTCAATTTCTTTATGTGCTTTTTAAGAATAATTTCAGAGGTTAAATACTGCTTTAAACCATTATACTTTTATACTTTAATTTTGTTAGATTGGCAAATATATTAATGTAGTTAAATTCATCTTTAAAGTACACATATGTGCCTACAGCCAAAAAATAATTATTTAATTTAATTTTATCTTATGTTGAGACAATTTGACATCTTATTTTGCAATCATTTACAGTGAAACAATGTTCCAGTTAGCTTTAAAAGGCATACGGTGCTAATTAGTAAAATATTAAGGGCAATATTTTACTGCTAGCTTGCAAAATTATAAGTGTTTTAAAAATAAAGTACATGAAAATATTTAAAGCTGTTGAGATGTGTTTACTTCTATTTTAAAACACTGACAATTGGAAAACTAAGATTTGTGGATTAAAGAGGCAATATTATCTGTAGCTCTTTTTTAGGGTTTTAGTTAATACGCCTCATTTAGAGATCGTGTTTTCAGGCCAGAGAGCTGACTTCATAGGTAAAGACACTCCTGGCAGAAGCGTGGCAGTGTGAGCACAGTTCCCACTTAAAGGTGGAAGGAGAGAACTGGCCCTGCAGAGTTGTCCTCTCACCTCCACACTTAGCAGTGGCACGTACCTGTGCACACACATACCACGCACACAGAGACATGGTGATAATAGATAAGATCTTAGAAATCCAAATTTCAGAATTAAGCTTGATGGCACATAGCTGAAATCCCAACACTCCAGAGGTTTCAGAAACAGGATCAGCACTCAAGGTCACCTACATGGTGAATTCCAAGCCAACCTGGGCTACATGACGCCCACAAAGAGTATCGCTGAGTATTCCAGCAGTCCTCTGATACAAGCCCTTTGTAGGACCTAATGTAGAGGATTTTTAGAAAGATTTGTTTTTGTTTTATGTGCATGGGTGGTGTGCCTGCATCTGTGTCTATGTGCCATGTGAGTGCCTGGGGCCTGCAGAGATGAGAAGGCAACGGATGCCCTGGAATTGGCATTATAGATAGTTGTTAGCTGCCGTGTAGGCCTTAGTCCCCAGTTCTGAAAGAACACGTGCTCTGAGCTGCTGGGCCATCTCTTATGTGGTGTTTTAAAGGTGGTTTCTCACTAAGGAGTAATCTCAGCTGTGGTAAGTAAAATTTAAGGGCTCCCTCTGGTTAAAAAAAAAAAAAAAAAAAAAAAAAACCTTGAGCCAGATGTGGCACATACCTGCAATCCTAGCAGTCAGTGGCTGAAGCAGAGGGATTACAGGAATTTTGGGGCTAGCCTAGACTATGGAAACAGACTCTACAGCAACTCTTAGGACTGGCTAAATGGCTCAGTGGATAGAGGCACTTGCCACTGAGTCTGAAGTCCTGAGTTCACATGGTAGGAGAATCAACTCCCGAAAGGTGCAAGGTGTGCTCTGACTTCCACATATTCACACACACAGATAAATAAATGGGAAGCAGGGACTTGTTTTTTGTTTGTTTTGGTTTGTTTTTCAAGACAGGGTTTCTCTGTATAACCTTGGCTGTCCTGGACTGACTTTGTAGATCAGGTTGGCTTCAAACCCAAGAGATCTGCCTGCCTCTGCCTCCCACAGTGCTGGGATTACAAGTATGTGCCACCACACCTAGCAGGACTTGTGTTCTTAGGTCCTATCTTTATTTGCAAATTTAGTATTAAGACTATACAAAATTCCATGAGCATTGACTTCTTTGGGTGTAAGAGCCATTGAAAGGCCGGTATCATGGTGCAAACCTATGATCCCAGCACTCAGGAGGTTGAGACAGAAGGATCAGTGCAAGTTTGAGGTCAGCCTGCGTTATCTATCAAGTTCCAGGCCAAAGCTACAAAGCAAGACCCTGTACGAACGGTAAAGGCCTCTGAATGTGACCCGCTTTTCAGATAGCATAGGTTTAAGGTTTTTAATTTTGCTTTGTTTGAGATAAGGACTCCCCATCCTACCCTGGCCAGCCTGGAACTTATGGTAGACCCAGGCTGACTGGTCTACCTTGAGCCTCAGACTCAAGGATCTGCTTGCCTCTGCCTCTTGAGTGTTGGGATTAAAGATGTAAAACGTCACACCTGTTGAGTTTCAGGGTTTTTTGAGCCAAATATAGGAAAAGATAGTATCTGCCGTATCTGGTGTCTGAGTATCAAATGTAGAAATACTTTGTGCTTCGCAGTGCTGGGAATCAAATCTGGGGATTGTGCTGCCAGGCGGAAATGCTTTGTAAAATCAGGAAAATGCTGTGTAAATTAAGTTTTAAGCCACTTACCTTTAAAGATGAATTTATTTTGATTTAATGTGTTGGAGTGCATATATGTGTGTGTGCCATGGCTTGCCTAGGGTCCGGGAAACCAGAGGAGAGCATAGGAGCAATAGGTGGCTGTGGGCCGCAGGGTGGCGCTGGGATCGGGATCCAGGTCCCCTGCAAGAGCAGCAGATGCTCTAACAGCTGCGCTCGCTCTCCAGCCTCACCACTTTCCTTTAGCAGAAGATGAAAGAAGGAAAGAGGCAAACAACGGCTGGTGCGCTCCAGACCTGTAATCCCAGCACTTGGGAAGCTAAGGTGGGAAGTAGGCTGCTTTATTGAAAATCAGTGATTCTGTTTTTGTAACAGTTACACTTGCTCTCGTAGTTTAAATACTGGTTAGCTGAGAAAGAACCTCTGCTTTTAGAAGTGTAGGGTGCTAGGGTGGCTCAGCTGGGTAGAGGGAGACAGGCCAGCCTAGCCATGTCTGGAAACTCCAGTTTCAGTCAGAAAGCCTTAGCAGAAAAGCAGGTGAGCAACACTGGATGGCAACCTCTGGACTCCACAGCCATGCGCACGTAACACACTTACACACAAACAGCATAGACGATAGTCAGTGTGGCTTCTGGATTAATGTCCATAACTTTTCAGTGTTTTGGGTGTCTCATGTGTGAGCAGTGAGATCTGACCTTTTGCCTCCAAATAAAGTAAAATGAAAGAAAAGTCATAAAGTTCTTATCCATGGTGTTGAAATCTGTGATTTGGGGAATTTTTTTTTTTTTTTTTTTTTTTTTCTGTGACAAGGATCTCACAAAGCTCAGGCTAGCCTCAGACTTACTATATGTAGAGGTGTCCTTGAACTCCTGACCCTCCTGTCCCCATGGAAGTGCTAGAATTAGAGGCATGCAGCATCAAACCTGGACTACTAGCATGTTCCACTCCACCAGGCCACCCTGTCAGTTCTGAGCAAAGGACATTGTATAGTTTGCTGTACATGAGCATCTGTTGCCTGGATTGTCACAGAGACCTTTAATTCTTGTTTGTTGAGACAAACCCCACTATGTACCCTTGGCAGGCCTGGAAGCTCTATAATGAGGTTGAGGCCACTCTGGGCTACGTGAGACTATATTTAGAAAAAATTTTTTAAAGAAAAAAGGTGATTGAAAAATAGCTAAGCTAGCCAGGCGCAGTGGCGCACACCTGTAATCCCAGTGCCCAGCACTCGGGAGGCAGAGGCAGGTGGAGCTCCCTGAGTTTGAGACCAACCTGGTCTACAAAGAAAGTCCAAGACAGCCAAGGCTATACAAAAAAACCCTGTATCAAAAAAAAAGCTCAGAAGTAATTCTTAATGGTGCAGACTTGTACTCCCAGCACTTGACAGGCAGAAGCAAGACAGTCACCATGAATTTAAAGCCAGGCGTGCCTAGCTACGCAGTAAGACAGTGT